TGCTAACACACCCACGGAGAGTTACCCTCCCAATGCTAACACACCCATCATTCATTCAGGTCATTCCACCAAAAATCAGGATAATAGCTACTCGGATCAGCAAACATAGAGCGTTAGGGAAACGGGATTTTGTTCAAGTCGTAGGCCACGGGATTTTGGATTGCTTCAAGTTACAGATGGTAGAATGTGAGAGGAAGGTAAATTTAATTGTCAAATCTAAAAGTAACCGGTCTCCTCATAGAGGTGCAAATGGACAATCTCAGTGATGGCATGACAGTGAGGTTGAAAGGTCACCTCAGATGACAGATTTGGGAGGCAGCAACGTGTTCAACAATTTTGGAGATCGGCTGATAGTTTGCTATGATTGTGGATTCAAAGTCTTTTTGCTTTGAGAAGAATAGCGATGTCAATCAATTTAAAGGAGAAAAGGTCAATACCTCAAGAGAGGACCATGAACAATATTGGTCAAGATGGGGGCCAGGAGGGAGAGTTTAGTGATCAGTAGTTTCATGGGGAGCAGGTCCGAGTTGAGCTGAGGGACAAGTTAAGCTCAGAGAGGGAAGAAGGGGAGACAAGAGAGAAACCAGAGAAAGGAATGAGTTCAGGGGCTAGAACAGAGAGAAGCTTCAAAGGAAGGTTGTCCCATTGGGCTAGTGCAAGGGAAGTGGCAGAGACAGCTAACTGGATAATCTTCATGGCAAAGAAAGCATGAGTTCCTCACACTTATTCTTTGAGATGAGAGTGGAGGAGATGGGGAGAGGGGTTTCAGATGGCAGTTTGATGTGGAGAAATGAAGTCATGGGATATCTTTGGAATCCAGGGCCATCCTGGAAATAAGGAGGAGTGATTTAGCAGTCTAGAGCAGGACCTGGTGGTAAAGTGTGCGATCTGTGTAGTTGGCACACTGGCAAGGAGCCCACATCAGCTCCTTGTGGAAGATGTGACAGAATGAAGTGCCCTTCAGGCAGTTGTGAGTCAACCGTGGGGTTTTCTCTGGGATTCAGGACCCTGGTAGTGGAAGTCCTGCCCTGCTGGGACTAGTCAGTATTAGCAGGGTCGGTAAGACATTCAGCAGAGTCCCAGGATTATTGAAGAACCTTGATAGTGAGGGATATCCAGCACCTACTCCCATCCCCAACACGCACCCGCCCCACCCCCGCAACCAAGTGGCCACAGGTAAACCTGACATAGTTTGCAGGAACACTTCAGGCAGTGAGTTAATGCCTTGACCATTCCCCACCTCAATTGCAACAGGCTTGGGAACATTGCCATCCAATTTGCTCATTAATGAGTCTCACTGAGATTCCAGTGTCAGTGGCCGGGAATCCCACATCAGCCCCTGCTGCCCTCCAAAGTCATCGGGGCGGGGGGAGGGAGTGCCACGGGAAGTGGGACCGATCACCATGGTCCCCATTTCAATGGGCTGCATTAACTTCGTCCAAATGCCACACTCCACTATAGCCAATCCTGCCTCCTGCAAGTCTCCAGAGTGAAGAGTTTGATTAATTGCTGTCACAAGTACCAAGATACAGTGAGAAGTGTTGTTTTGTGTGCTATAGAAGCAGATCATATCACACAAAGTGCCCCAGGGTAGCAGAACAGAGAACAGAATACAGTGTTACAGTGGCAGAGAGGATTCAGAGAGAGAGAGAGATCAACGATAACATTTGAGAGGTCCATTCAAAAGTGTGGTAACACCGGGAAGAAGCTGTTCTTGAATTTATTTGTATGTGTATACAAACTTTTATATCTTCTGCCCGTCTGAAGAGGGTGGAAGAGAGTATAACTGGGGTGGGAGAGGTCTTGTGATTATGTGGGTTGCTTTCCTGAGGCAGCAGGAAGTGTAGATGGAGTCAATGGATGGAAGGCTGGGTAATCCACAAACCCTGTGAAAAGTTCTGAGGAAGGGTCACCGGACCTGAAATGTTAACTCTGTTTATTCCTTCACAGATGCTGCTAGACCTGCTGAGCTTTTCCAGCAACTTTGTTTTTGTTCCTGTGAAAAGTGGGATTGGGTTGCAACTATGAGTTGTTAACATTGTTGGCCACGTTCTGGCAAAATAGAGCATTTAACACACAAAATATTTTGTTCTTGTGCCCTTTCCTCTCTTACATCATAAAAACCCGCTTGATATTTTCAAACGTGAAGGAAAACAGAAGCATGTAAAGTGTTCTGTGGATCCTGGAGCTCTCTGTGTAACACCATGGCAGAAATGTCTGCACTAACAGACTTAGTCCCAGGCGCTGCTGAATGAGCTGCCCTATCCTGCTGGTTTTAGAGATTGTTTTACGAGGGAACTTTCAATGACAGCAAAACGCCACCAAAAATATTTGTGTTGGAAGAGCCTAAATTGACACATTTGTACATGTTTGAACAGAGAATAGATCGCACCATAAGATCCCTGTACTGAAACCACCATTCCACATATCACACAGCCCTGTGATGGGCCATTTCAGGGACTACGCTGCCTTCTGTTTCCAATAATTGATTGGCACATCTAAAGAAAAGCTGTTGGGCCCGATGCTATTATTATTAAACCTTGGCTCTCTGGATCTAATTTAACATCCTTGCTGTCTACACATGCCCCCTTCTGAGAACTTCTGTTTTGCTACTACCGTACAGGCCTTGATCTTAACTCAAGGCATGAGGGGGCTTTGTTTTTTCCGTTAAAAACCCCTCCGCCCAATTTCAGAAGGAAGACGTGCCCCAGGAGCAGAGTGTTAGCACAATTAAAGTCGTTCTGGAAAGCATGCAGTATTTATAAGGCACCCTGTATTCAAGGAGCAAGCATTGGTTGACCTTACTCCCTGTTCAACTCGTCTTGAAACCACATCAAATTGGCACCACGGTGGTCAACTAATTGAAGCCAGGGAGTGACAGGAAGGAATTAGGGGGTCTACAAGAGAGGGCTGTTATTAGCTCTCATTCTACATGAAGAGGGTTGGCCAGTGGAAGAAGGCTGAGACAAGCCTTCCTAACCCATCAGACTATACTGTACAGCACTTAACAAGGAAGCACAGAGAGAGAAAAAACAGCACAGGAGCCTGATCCCATTATGGCTTAATCATCCAGCACTAACTTTTAAAATCCCTACAGTGCAGATAGTGGCCATTCAGCCCACACCAAGCCTCCCATCCCCATAAGGTTTTAAACCATGGCTAACCCACCAAATCCGCATCTTTGGACTGTGGGAGAAAACGACACAGACAGGGAGAACACACAAACTCCACACAGTTGCCCATGACCAGGATTGAACCCATGTCCTTAGCACTGTGAGGCAGCAGTGCTAACCATTGTGCTACCATGGGACAGATTGAATAAGGAACTTGATAACACAAGAGACCCACAGACCTTAGACCATCAGCAAGGCAATCAAAAATAATAACAAAAACTGAAAGAACTGCGGATGCTGGAAATCAGAAACAAAAACAGAAATTGTTGGCAAAGCTCAGCAGATCTGGCAGCATCTGTGGACAGAAATCAGAGTTAACTTCAATTCTGAGGAAGGGTCAGTGGATGTGAAACATTAACTCTGATGTTTCTCCACAGATGCTGCCAGACTTGCTGAGCTTTTCCAGCAATTTTTGTTTCTCGATCAAAAATAATAGTCTTCCACCCAGAAAACCAGTAAGTCTTCCAAGTCTGAAGAGAATGTGTAATGGGAGGATGATGAAATCTCCAGACCACCTGACTTTCTAAAGGCAGAGATTTTGCGGTGATAGAGTAGTGGCAAGTATAACTGTATGTACATATACATACTATTAATAATGGGGTCAACAGCTTATGGTGGAGAGATGTTGTATATGAGTCTCAGGGATCTGAAAGGATTACTATGGAGGAATGATGATGTCAGTTGAGTTACAGGCAGGAACAACTTAGAATCTCAAAGGACAGACCCAATTTCTGATCCTCCCCAATGTCTCTGTGACAATGTTTATTGTATCATAGAATCCCTGTAGTGTGGAAGCAGGCCATTCAGCCCATCAGGTCCACACTGACTATCTGAAGACCATCCCACCCAGACCCATCCTATCCCTGCAACCTTGTATTTCCCATGGCTAATACACCTAGCCCCACATCCCTGGACACCATGGGCAATTTTCCATGGCCAATCCACCTAATCTGTCCATCTTTGGACTGTGGGAGGAAACCAGAGCACCTGGAGGAAACCCACGCAGAC